CGGGGCGCGCACGGGCGGGCACCCGCCGAGGCTTCGGCGCGTGCCCCTCCGGCGCGGGGGGCCCACCGAGGCGCCCACGGGCAGGCACCAGGCAGACCCTCGGCATGCCTCCCCCCCCCCCCCCAGCGCGGGGCGCCCACGGGGCGCCCACGGGCGGGCACCGGGCAGAACCCGGGCATGCCCTCCCAGCGCAGGGCACCCACGAGGCGCCCACGGGGTGGGCACCAGCCAGTTGCTGCAGCAGGTTGTGTCAGAGCCCCTGCGTGCAAGCGTTGCTTAATAGCTCTGGAGCCACGGGCGGCAACAGGCGCGGCCACGGGCGACAACGTGGCGAACACTCTCCAGGCACATCCAGCGCACGAGGCGGCTACGACGCGGGCACGTGGTGCAAGGGATGTGGTGCAAGCGAGGAGGTGCGGTGCAAGCACTGGTGCAAGCTCTATGATGCCAGCTACGTTTGGCGGCCACGGGCGGCCACAGGGCGGCCATGGGGCGGCCGCCAACAAGCATATTCGGGTAGCCACTCAACTCCTTGGCAGAACACTTACTAATCCTAAGCGCCAGCACTGCTTAGGGGCTATAAATATATATATATGTATGTATACATGTGCACGCGTATATATACATATATACATATATACATATATACATATATATTATATATATTCGCACATACATGTGTGTATATGTATTTGTCTGCAGTTATGAACGTATGCGCAACTAATGATGCATACACGCAGACATACATTTATACATACACACATCCATTCATCCGTCCATCCGTACATACATACACACATACGCACACGTCTTCTCGTCCATACATACACACATACATGCATACATTCGGGCGTGCATACATATATGCACATGAAAACATACATACATACATACACATATGTATACCTACCTACACACACGTACACACGTACGTATGTACGTATCTACGCACATGCAGACGTACATGCCTATCTACGCACACACGTACATACGTACATATTTGCACACGTAAATACGTACATATTTACACCGTACATACGTAACTACGTGCATACGTACACATCCACACCTACCTCTCTACCTACCTACCTAGCTACCTACCTACCTATCTACACACATACACGCACGCATGCAGACAGGCACACATACAAACACACGCACATGCACACATACACAACCATACAACCATGCATACATACATAAACACATACACACAAACGTGCATACACATTCGCACATGCGCATATACTAACACACGTCGACTCATACATACATGCATACATGTATACATACATGTATGCAAACACACATACGTGCACATATCCATCTGTACACATATAAAGCCATATACACATACAATCATATATTCATACTTTCATGCATACATATATACATGCATCCATACATACGTACATACATCCCATCTGTCCATCCATACATAGATCCATATACACTTATGTACGTACAGGTATCTTGATATTTGTACATGCATGCATGTATACAGGGGGGGACGAGGAGAGGAGGAGGAGTAGGGGGAGGAGGAGGAGGAGGCGAAGGAGGCGAAGGAGGTGTAGGTGGAGGACGGAAGACGAGGTCGACAAGGATGACGAGGATGATGATGCTGATGATGATGATGATGATGATGATGATGATGATGATGATGATGACGATGACGATGATGACGATGATGATGATGATGATGATGATGATGATGATGATGATGATGATGATGGTGGTGGTGGTGATGATGATGATGATGGTGGTGGTGGTGGTGGTGGTGATAAGGATGGCGATGGGGGTGACGCTGGAGATCACCATGGGGGTGATGATCGTTGTGTCGATGACTGCAGCGGAGGGGGCAGCGCTCCGCATCCCGTCAAGCCGAGAACGAGCACGGGGGAGGGAGCCAGGCATGCACGGCCGCGCCCGCCGAGCGATGGTGCCCGGCAGGCCACGGCACCGCGCTGCGCTGCGCACGGGGCGCAGGGGCCGGAGGAGGGCTGGCCACGCACCTGATCCTCGGGGGCCCAGCCGCCAGGGACACATCCAGCCCGCCAGGACTCGGACCTGGCGCAGGCGACGAGGGCCCGAGGGAGGCGGGGTCGGGAGGGGCCACCTTCTCTGGCCCAGGCGCGCAAGCTGCGTCCACCCTGGCAGCGGGGCAGGGGCCGCGCCGCGGCTCCCCGAGAGGGAAGGGGGGAGGAGGAGGGAGGGGCGGGGTCGGGAGGGTCACTCTCTGGCTCAGAAGCGATTCTAGTGATGATACAGACGAAGGCGAATAGAAAGCTGAAGATGGAGATGGAGATGGAGATGAAGATGGAGATTCCGTTGCTGCTGTTTCGGATGATGATGGTGATGGTCATAGTGACGGTGCTGCTGATGATGCTGATGATGCCGATGATGCTGATGCGGATGATGATGCTGACGACGATGATGATGCTGCTGATGTTGATGCTGATGATGTTGAGGATGGTGCTGCTCATGATGTTGTTGATGCTGACGATACTGAGGTTGACGGTTGCTATGAGTACTATCATGAATGTGTTCACGCTCACGATGTTGATGTGGATGATGGTGATGATGTTTCGGATGACGGTAGTGACGATGCTGTGGCTGCTGATGATCATGTTGATGATTGTGTTGCTGATGCTGATGATGATTATGCTGATGATGATAATGACGATGATACGGCTGTTGTTGATGATGATGCTGGTGGTGTTTATGGTGATGCTGGTGATGCTCATGATGATGCTGATGATGACGTTGCTGACGCTGGTGTAGATCATGCTGTCATGCTGATGCCGATGCTACTGCTGATGCTGATGACGATGACGATGCTGATCATGTTGACGACTCTGATTGTGATCATACTGATGTTGTTGATGATGACGATGGGGTTGGGGATCATGGTATGACGATCATGATAATGATGTTGATAAGGATTAGTATTCTGGTGGTGGTGATGAGTGTGGTGATGGTGATGATGTAGATGATGATGTAGATGATGCTGTAGACGATACTGTTGCTGATGATGATGTCGATGATAGTGATGATGCTGCTGCTGATGATGATGACGATAATGATGACGATGCTGTTGACCATGAATGAGGATGCTGATCATGATGATGGTGCTGATGCTGATGATCGTACTGATGATGATGACTCTGATGCTGACGATTCGGATGACGACATCGATGAGTATGATAAACACGACGGTGATGCTGATGACGATGATCAATAGTATGATTAGCATGCTAATTATCACTATTCTTACGATAATGAAGAGAATGAATCAATGAAGATGATGATGCTGCTGATGATAATGATGATGAATATCATGATGCTGATGCTGCTGACGTTGATGATGCTGATGATGATATTGCTGATGATGCTGTTGACGCTGATGATGCTACTGCTGCTGCTGCTGCTGATGACGATTGTGATTGTGGTGGTGGTGGTGAATATGATGCTGCTGCTGTTGATGCTTCTGCTGATGCTGATGATGATGATTCTGCTGCTGATGATGCTGATTGTGATGATGATCATGGCGATGATAATGATGATGACGATCATGATGATGACGATGATGATTCTGATGATGGTGATGATGATGGATAAGGTTATGGTTATGATGATGATGATGACAATGACGACGATGAGGATGAGGATGAGGATGAGGATGAGGATGATGATGATGATGATTTAGGATGATGACGAAGGTGCTGATGATGCTGATGCTGATGATGGTGATGATGATGTTCATGATGATGCTGATGATGATGGTGGTAATGATGATTGTACACGATGACGATGATGATGATGATGATGATGATGATGATGATGGTGGTGGTGGTGGTGATGATGCTGGCTGCTGCTGCTGCTGCTGCTGCTGCTGCTGCTGATGATGATGATGATGATGATGATGATGATGATGATGATGATGATGATGATACTGATTATGATTATGATTATGATTATGATTATGATTATGATTATGATTATGATTATGATTATGATGCTGATGATGTTGAGGAGGGGAAGGATGAGGATGAGGAGGAGGAGCTGGAAGAGGAGGAGGAGGAAGAGGAAGACGAGGAGGAGGAGGAGGAGGAGCAGGAGGGGGGAGGAGGAGTGTCGGATCGGGTCGGAGCTCGAGGGGTCGTGTCGCTGAAGACCACCTGATGGCTTGCGTCGAGGTCTCGCACACAGTAGCTATCGGACTCAGGTCTTTGAGTCTGATATCAGAGGCTCCCAGCTAAAATCTGGCGGGGGCCCTGCTGCCCGCTGCCGAGAGTAGTACTCGCCAGGCAGCCGAGGAAGAGAAGGAGAAGCATCAGGACGATGACGAGCTGGATCCTCGAACGTTCCTGTCGCCCTGCGCCCGACCAATCTTCACGAAAAGCTGGTCCTGGAACCCGTCCCGGAGCGTATCCTTGTTCGCTTCCCGAGCCGCTTCTGGCCGTGGCGACGGGAGCGAAATGCCGCCCGACGTGAGGGCGTCGATGTCGACGTCGTCCTCCGACCGCCCGGCGGCGGCGCGCAGCTGTCGGAGATCCTGAACTGCCGGGCCCACGACATGACCAACTTCACAAACATGGACATAGAAAAGGAGGCCGAGGTGTGCCGACCCGCGTCAGCCCGCCCGGCGGGTACCCTCCCTCGCTTTTCATGTCGTCGTCGGCGTCGTCGTCGTCGTCGTCGTCGTCGTCGTCGTCAGCGTCGTCGTCGTCGTCGTCGTCGTCAGCGTCGTCGTCAGTGTCGTCGTCGTCGTCGTCGCCGTCGTCGTCACAGACGAGCGCGCCGCCCCCACAGCCGCCCCGCGGCTCGAGCCGCTGCGGACCCCCCCGGCCTCCGCCCCCCCGCGCGCGCGCGCGGGCGCCCGCCGAAGCCTGGCGGGCCGCGCTCTCGGCGGCCCTCGGCGGCGGCCTCGGAGGGCTGCTGCAGGCGCGCTCCCACGCCCCGCCGAAGAGCGGAGGGGCGGGCGCGGTGCGCGGCCGCAGATGGCCGCGGCGGCCGGCTGCGCCGTCACCTTCAGGGACGCGAGGCGGCGGTCGGGGGCGGGCGACGCCGACGCCCGCTTCGAGGTGGCCAGGGACGGGGCGCTGCGGGACGCCATGGCGGGCGCGTGCGGGGCGTGGGGGCGGCCTCAGGCCGACCTGCTGTTCACCCACCTGGGCAGGGAGGTGCTTCCAGACGACACTCCCGAGCGCATCGGCATGGCGCCGGGCGGTGGCGTCATCGACGTCCGCCGCCGCGGGCGCGTGGACCCCGCGCCCAGGTGGGGCGAGGCGAGGGCGGCGGAGCTGGCGGTGGTGCACACCGGCAGCCTCGGCCTCGGCGCTGCCGCCGCCGCCGCCGCCCCGGCGGCGGTGGACCCCAGCGGCGGGCCTCTGGACCTCGAGTGGACCTGCCCCGCGTGCAGGTCGGCGCACCCGGCGGCCACCGCCGCCGTGCGGCGGGAGCCCAGGCTGCACTGCGTGCGGTGCGGCTGGGAGGGGCACCCCCGCCTCCGGGAGCTGCCGCGCGCGCGGCCGGGCGAGGGGGGCGGCGCGGCTGCGCTGGGCGGGCCCGCCGCCCCCCGCGGCCGCGGCGGCTCGGCCGGGGTCAAGAAGGTGGCCACCTCGGGCAGGGAGCTGCACGCCGACCACATCGGCCAGCACGTGGAGGCCCCGGTGAGCGGCATGATAGCCATGGTCAGCCAGGTGCAGCGCTCCCAGCAGTGCGCCGGGCTCATCTGCTACTGCCTGTTCTGCCTCAACTTCCTCTCGATCATATCGCTCATCCGGCCCGTGGGCAGGATCTACGATGTCCAGAGCGCGATATATCGTGACCTTGCTCTGGAGCCGGTCTCGCTCGCAAGTCGGCCCCTAGTGTTCCAGGACGTGGGGGATTGGGGCGACGTGTGGGACTGGGTGGACAGAGTGCTGATCGACAAGGTGTATGGGGAGTCTCACTACGGAGAGCGTGTGATGGGCGGCATTGCTGTTCCAATTGGCGCGGCCAGAGCTCCCTACTCTCGGTTCACAGTCGGCAGGTACAACCGCGTGGTCAATGCGATCAGGTTCCGCCAGGCACGGGTGGTGCCGACGCTGCCGCGATGCGAACCCGACGCAGTCACTGGGGCGGAGCCCACGCAGTACCAGCAGGCCTGCACGCTGGACCAGCTGGACGTCTTTCGATCTTGTAACACGCCGGTCGAGCACCACAGCCTCTCTAGGCCCTGCTGGGGCGCGTGGAACGGCGCCGACCAGGACATGCAGTACCCCAGCGGCTTCCAGCTGGAGACCGCGCAGGCGGCGCGAGACGACGCGCACCCGGAGAGGGATCTGCTGTGCCCGCAGAACTGTGATGAGGTGCTGTTGCGCGGCACCTCTGACGTGCCCTCAGCGGCGGTGCTGGCGTGGGTCCTGACGTTCCAGGACGTCGAGGACCCCGACAGCGGCGCCGCGGCCTGCCGGGAGTCGTGCGATGGCTCACGTACATCTCTCCTGGGCAACCTCTCCGATGTCCCAGGTTTCTGCGGCTCCACCTACAGCAAGCCGCTCTCGTTGCAGTCTGCAGGCTGCTGGGGAGACGTCGTCGACGTGCCCCTGGAGGCGGTGGAGGCCAGGAGGCTGATTGCCGCCATGAGGCGGGAACGGTGGACCAGCGAGGGTACTCGGATGTTTGTAATCGATCTGAACACGTACAATGCGAATCTCAACATCGCGACGGCGATTCGCGTGACCGTCGAAGCCGAGCCTGGAGGTCGACTGGTGCCAGCCCTCACGATGTGGTCTTGCCCCCTCAACCTGTACCGCGACAGCGTGGACTACATCCGCATGTTCCTGGAGGTTGTCTTCGCATGCGCAGTGCTCAACTATGCTCTCTTCGAGGTTCAGAAGGTGTGCAAGCTGAGGGAACGATACTTCTACGACCCCTGGAATTATGTCGAGCTGTCTAACATTTTGATATATGCCTTGCTGCTTGCCATGTATCTTAACTACGTTCTTGTGGATCACAAGAAGCTCCACAAGTTCGGAAGCCGATCACCCACAGAGTATTTTGACTTGTACACGGTCGCCGTCGGCTTCAACAATATCTATTTGGCGTCTTTCAATTTCATCTACGGAGTTGTTCGCTTCTTGAAGCACCTGCGTTTCCACACGCAATTCGAGCAGCTCTGGGAGACAATGCGAAGGTCGATGAACGGTGTGACCCCCACCTTCGCCATCTTTGTCACGTTCCTGCTCGGATTCGCATGTGCGGGTCACTGGCTCTTTGGTTCAAGGTCTCCTGGCTTTCGCTCGTTGCCTCAGTCCGTGATGACCCTGGTGCTGTCGATTCATGGAGGCATCGATTTCGGAGAGATCAGCAGCGTGGCCCCACTAGCGGCGCCACTGTTCATCTTCAGCTGGTTTGTCACCTCCTGGGGAGTTCTCCTCAGCACGGTGATCGCCACCGTCGTCGGCTCCTTCCCGCTGGCAAAGGTGCGGTTCCACAGGATGGAGGACTCCTGGCGGCGCGCGGAGGGGCATCGCCCACCAGACCATCCCCCAAGCCAACCCGCAGGCCCCGATTTGCCTCCATTTCCAGTGGGAGGGGGGGTCGGGGAACATGGGGGAACACACACATGTGATGCCCGTACCCTCCCCCAAACCTGAAATTCGGGTCTTCGGGTTGGGTTGGGGTGGTCTTGGTAGGCAGTCAGCGGGGGGAAGTGAGAGGGGGAACACACTCTTGCGTCGGCGGCTAGGCAGGGGACGCCTGCGCTGGCGATGGGAGGCCCAAGCGGGGATGTCGTTATAGAGCGAACGGGGCTACCGTGCAGGAGGAGGAGGAGGAGCGAAGAAGAGCGCGGCCGAAGGAGGGGTGGATGGAGCGAGCGGAGCGGCTCAGGGGGACGGGTCGCTCCCCGAGCGGGCGGCGCGGCCAGCCCCGCCGGGCCATGGGGAAAACACACATATGAAGCCCGTACCCCCCCCCCCCTTTCCCAACCCGAAGTTCGCGTCTTCGGGTTGGCTTGGGGTGGTCTTGGCAGGCAGTCAGAGGGGGGGGGGGGGAAGCGATAAGGAAGCGATGAGGGGGCAGGCCTTCTCAGAGGGCGGCGGGGCTTCTGGGCCCTCGGCCTGGGCGCGCCCACCTCGGCATGAGCATCCTCCTGCTCCTGCTGCTGCTCTTCGCTCTCCCCCCTCCTCCTCGCTCCTCCTCCTCCTCCCCCTCCTCCTCCTCCTCCTCCTCCTCCTTCCCCTCCTCGCTCCTCCTCCTCCTCCTCCTCCTCCTTCTCCTCCTCCTCCTACTCCTCCTCCTCCTCCTCCTCCTCCTCCTCCTCCTCCTCTTCCTCCTCCTCCTCCTCCTCCTCCCACCACCTGGGCGCGCCGCCCTCGAGGACGTGCGGAGGCAGGGCGTCGAGCTGGGCACTCGCCTGCCCTCCCCGCTCTACAACATGCTCTACTGGGTGCTCCCGAGGACCCTCTGGCGCCTCAGTGGCCTCGCGGATCGGCAGGCCGCCTCGCGCGAGGCCTCGCGGGAGCTGGAGGAGCTGCTGGTGGGCGTGGACCTCCAGCTGCTCTGGCAGCGCCTGCTCGAGGCCGCCGAGGGCGACGTGGCGGCGGTGGACGCGGAGGACCCGGGGCGCCCGACGGTCGGCGTCGAGCGAGGGGGGGAAATGAGGAGGGGAAGGCCCCCTCGGAAGGCGGCGGGACTCCTCGGAAGCCCCCCGCGCCCTCGGAGAAGCCTCCTGCGCCCTCGGGGAAGGGCTCACAGGACAACCTCTCAGCGGGGCGCGAGGGCACTTCCGAGCCTGCCGAGACGGCCCGCCCCTCCTCACTTCCCCCTCCCCCTCCCGGCGCGCCGACTGGACTGGGACGCGGAGGGCCGGGCCGCCTCGCGGAGGCATCGGCGCGGCGGGCCGGGGGACGGGGCCCGGCCGCTCCCGCCCCGGGCCATCGCCGGGTGGCCCGGCCGAGGCCCCGGCGGTGCGGCGCGGCCCTCCGGCCCCCGGCCGCGTGCCGGCCCCGCTCGGGGGGCGGGCCCCCCGGGGAGGAGCTCTGCCACCTCTTCGGCGGCTCCCAGAAGGAGGGGGACTCCAAGAATATACACCACCACCACGTCGATTCCTCCTCTCTCCTCTGCCCTCCTCTTCCTTTTCTCTTTCCTGGGTGAGGGGGGGGGTGAGGGAGGTGGTGGTGGTGTATATTTTTGGGCCCCCCAAAGGAGGCCCGCATGTTCATCAGCCGAGCCTGCGCCGCCGGCGGGCTGCCGCGGGTGGCGCCGCCCCGGGCCGTGACCACCGAGGCCCGCATCGCCCGCGTGGGCGACGCCGCCGCGCGCCTGCAGGTCGGGAGCTGGAACGTCTGCTCGGAAAGCCCAGGGTTTCGCGAGGGACTGAAGCGACGAAAACTCTGTGCAAACCAACTTCCGAAAACCTTCCCAGAGGGTTCTTGGAGGGTTTCGGCAGGGGTTGGGCCTTTCTGACCAGCGACACCTGGACTTTCTAGACCGACGCATTACCAGTGGCGGCTGTTTTTCCATCCCAGGACTCTTTGAGGTTCGGGACGGCGTCTGGGTGGTGTGGTGTGTATTTTTTGCTGTCCGCTTCCCTGGGAACCAACGGAACATGTGTACACCAGGATCCCGTATGCACCGACATCCACTTTGTTGTGCAATTTTCAGTGCAGGGCTGGAAACAGCGTCGGTGTGTGTATATATATGTATATGTAGAGTTCGGTTCCCCATGCAGGAGCAGCTCGGCGCCTGTAGGGCGGAGCTGCTGTCGGAGTTCCCAGAGCTGGGCCTCAGGGGCAACCACAGGGGGACAGATGCTCATTGGGGGGGATGCGTCGACCCCCGATCGCTACTTCATAGCCGAAAGGGTCCTGATAACCCACTTCGCCCAGAAGCATGCGGTTCCGCAATCCGGGGCTTATCGCCGACCTATCGGCGATGTGTCGCCGATGGCAGGTCGATGTTTCCCCCCTCTCCTTGAGCCGATCCCCCCTGAAGGTTGCCCCTCAGGCCC